CGTAGTAGTCGTTTTCTTTTTCTTATGAGAGAGATGGGAGTAGGGGTGGGGGGGGGAGGGGGCAGATTTTCCTAGGGTGAAGAGGGGGGTGGAGCGGCTGACTTTGGTTGAGAGTGGAGGCTGGTTCTCTTTTAGCTTGGGGGTGGTCTGTCGCTGCTCCTTAGAGTTAGGAGATTAGGTTTTCTTAATTTGATTTTTTATATGGGTGTAAGAGTTGACATGGACCATTGGCTGAAAGTAGATCAGTGACTATGATTAAGGAAGGGGTTTGATGGGTGAGAAAAGGGTTTAGGCTAAAAGAGATTGGGAAGAATGAGTCTTTGTCTTGTTGGGCCACTAAAATCCGAAAATGAGCTCCAATTGGCCCAATTTCGGGTTATTCGACTCGTAAAAAACTAAAAATTCATTAACTAAAAACCCAAACCTTCTCCTAAAAATAATTTAAAGTACTTATAAAAATATAAGATCACTCTTAGTTAATTAGAAAAAACTACTAAAATAAAACTAAATATTAAACTGAAACTATTTTTGTGTTTTCAATTTTATGTTTAAAAGTTAAAACAAAAAATAGAGGAAAATATAATAATCGTGGTAAAAATATGATACCACTACTATAAATATACTAATGACCTTAAAAAAAATGAAAATTTATAATAAGATAAAATGAAACTTCTTTTTTTTTTTTTGTATTCTTTCATATTAAAACAATAAAAAATGATAAATTAAAATCCTAAGAAGAATAAAATCAACTAAATATATATAAAATACTAGAGTAACTTGAGAACGTGACGGGTCAAAAATTACGTGCTTACATAATTCACACACTAGGCCTCAGTAGTCAGTATGCATATTAAACCAAGTGGTGTTTAATGAACTAATTGTTTGAAAATATATGCACATTAATCAGATCATTTAATTAAAAAGTAATTTTGGAATACGCGTTAATCACTAACCTGATAAAGATTAACTTGCTATCACATGTCGTTGCATATTGATAAACTAAGAAAAGACGAAACATATACCAAGTGGTTAATTGATAGCAGTACTTTCTTCTTACTAGATACTCCACTGGCCAATACCCAAAAAGAAAGAATATTTTTTTTGAAACTTGTGATTTAAAATCGTCCATAAATATCTGTGTCGCTAGATATTGTTTCTGCCATTCGTCCTTTCACAAGGTAGCCCAATGAAGAACGAAGCAAGTTTAGGCTTGAGAGATTAGTCCACAAGTATTGGGTTGGGCCTGTTTAGGCATTGTTGATTCTTTTCACTTTGTTCGGAAAAAGTGAGGAAGACAAACATGGTTGGACCTAATACGTAAGAGTGTGAGCCTCGAGCATAAGCATGGAAACTAAAAGCACATCCATCCACATGAGCTAGCCCAATGAAGAATGAGGTAAGCTTTCCCTCGAGGGTTATTTCATCAAATTTGTATCGCACCAACTTTTTGGTCACTTTATTGGATATAATTAAAATAAGACTTTTTCGATCATCGTGATCTCTTAGGATTCTCATTGATGTGAAAATAGTGAACTTCAATATAACATAAATACATTACAGTTCTCATGTTAAACTAATAGATTAAATGAGAAACATTAACTTTCAAATAAACATACTTTCACGAGTACTTTTTATGACTTTCATTGGTGCATTATCCTTTACTCTACTTTCAATGTATATCACTTAATGCACATTGCTTCTTATTGATATTGTTTGGTGTTAAATATGTACAGGAACAAGTCAAAACTAATGAATAAAAAATCAAGTTTAAAAAATTGCTAGTGTAATGAACCTTGACGACACTAATTATTCTTTATTCATCCTTATCTCATCTAAGACAACTTGAAAATATATGAAAAAACTAAAAACTTAAAAAGGTAATGTGAAGTTATAAATTGTCATTTGGAATAAGCCTTTACTATTTTACTACTTGCACTTTCTAAATGATGAAATTATACCTACTCCTTATGTTTCCAGATGCAACATGAAAACTGCATAAAAGAACGACAAACTGATAGAAGTATACAATAGTTGACTTAAAATGGTGGATCTATACGTGTATACGGTAAAATCGGAGGGTCCAATTTTCCGTCATTATGGTATCTCATGAGCATGTTTCACAAGGTTAAAGACCAGGGTCGAGGTTCACCCTCGAAGGCTGTCGATGCTCGACCTCGGGGTGGTGCGGACCAACGGTTATGATGGGAAAGTGGGGAGTTCCCAAAGCGCATAATTAGGGCTGACAAAGCCTAGTGAACCAAAATCAGACTTGAATCGTGACTTCGACTAGCTGTCCCATCTCCATATCTTTGTAATTAATACATTTGTACTACGTTGTGATTTCCCCTCCTATATAAAGGAAGTCCCTGTCATTTTGTAAACACCTGTTGCTCCATCCTAAATACACAAGAACATTCTCTCTACTCTTTAACATATTAATCTGAGTTCATTACTCCATTTATTGCTTGCATTCATTGTGTTCTATTCATTGTTCATCATTTATTGCTTATTATTGGCCATAAGGAGCTGCCATTGATCTTATTCCAATTGTTACTCGCCCATCGATTACCCCCAATAGCTCCCAACCGAGCACCCGGCTCGACCCCGAGAACCCCGAATAGGAAAGCTCGAGACCCCGATTGGCAGTCATTCGGTTTGACTAACATCTTGTTTTTAAGCTTTTATCTCACTTCTAAGTCTTTCACATAGTATCAACTGCTTAACAACCGGCATAAAAATAGATCACGTATTTTTAGAATCCCATAATCAAATTTAACTGTTATTACCATTTTTACGGTAAACAGTTTGTCACCTACTGTGGGGCTAAAAATAATAGTGATTATTTTCTTGCCGATTTAACCACGTAACGCAAGTTATCTTTCACACTTTTTCTTGTCCAAGATCTTTGATTTTAGGTCAAATGTCTAACTCAGTAAACGCACGTGAAAACATCAACCTCGAAGACCATGGAGAAAATGGTGTTGACGTCCCAGGTGTTGGTGTGCCACCACGAAACCCTAAGAACGCACCGGAACCAATTCCCGAATTTACGACCTAATACAACACCCAACGTAGTAATGACGGTCCTCACATTAGCAAGGGAACACGCAAAGAGATTCAGCAGGAAACCCGAAAAGATCCGACATGGGCCAAGAGAGAAATTCCTCAGCATGACGTTCATATGATCATCGGGGGGACCGACATTCCCCAAGGACCCACGATCAAACGGATAAAACATTTTGCTGCAATAGAAGGGTCGATCCGAGACCGTGCGACCAAAGACACCCTCGCATTTTGCGAGGAGGATTTCGGGACCCTAACACGGCCACACAACGACGCACTGGTAATTTCATTTCTGTTAAATAACATTCGAATTAAACGTGTGCTCGTGGACCCAGGCAGCTCAGCCAACGTAATCAGGCCAAAGGTAGTAGAACAGCTCGGGTTACTTGATCAGAACGTACCCGCCTCCCGGGTCCTCCACGGCTTCAACATGGCCGGTGAAATAACGAAAGGGGAGATCGCCCTCTCGGTTGACATGTCCGATACAGTTCAGAACACCAAGTTCCACGTCATCGGTAGTGACATGAGGTACAACGCATTGCTTGGCAGGTCGCGGATACATAGCATGAGGGCAGTGCCATCAACTCTACAGCAGATGATGAAGTTCCCAACAAAGGATGGTATAACAACCATATATGGATAACAGCATGCGGCAAAAGAAATGTTCGCGGTTTATCAGGAGGCGTTGAATCCTATAAGCTCTACCCTGGATGAGTCTGGGAGCGTACAAACACCCGAAGATGAGGAAGATTTCCTCGCTCCTCGGACTTTTGTTGCCCCCGAAGAGTCGGATGCAACGAAATCTACAATTGAAGAGCTGGAGCAAGCTGTTTTGACCGAGCATCTCCTCGGTCGGAGGGTATACCTGGGAACGGGATTAACCCCCGAACTCAGGAAAAAACTCATTCAATTCCTTATTAATAACATCGACTGTTTCACTTGGTCCCACTTAGATATGACAGGTATCCCGCCGGAAATAACCACCCACCGGTTGAGTGTCGACCCCAGGTTTAAACCGGTGAAGCAAAAAAGAACACCCAGTCCGAAATAAAACACGCGTTCAACAAGGACGAGGTAATGAAACTCCTAAAAATAGGGTCTATTAGAGAGGTAAAGTACCCTGAATGGCTGGCCAACGTAGTAGCAATGCCCAAAAAGGGAAATAAGTTAAGAATGTGTGTAGATTATAAAGACTTGAACAAGGCATGCCCAAGGATTCATTCCCATTGCCCAACATCGATCACCTGATTGATGCCACGGCCGGTCACGAGACCCTCACATTTCTCGATGCCTACTCGGGGTATAATTAAATTCATGAACCCTGAGGATAGGGAAAAGACTTCGTTCATCACGAAGTATGGTACCTACTGTTACAATGCAATGCCATTCGGGCTGAAAAACGTAGGGGCCACATACCAACGTCTAGTTAATAAAATGTTCGAGCATCAAATAGGAAAATCCATGGAAGTTTATGTTGATGACATGCTAGTTAAGTCCCTGCACGCAGAGGACCATTTAACTCATTTGCAGGAAACATTCGACATCCTCAGAAGTTACAAAATGAAGCTTAATCCCGAGAAATGTGCCTTCGGAGTGGGTTCGAGCAAATTCTTAGGCTTCATGGTGTCGAACAGGGTGATCGAGATCAACCCCGATAAAATCAAGGACATCGAAGAAATTACGGTGATAAACAATGTAAAAGCAGTACAACGGCTGCAGGACGGATAGCGGCTCTAGGCAGGTCCATATCGAGGTCATCGGATAGAAGCCACCATTTCTTCTCTTTACTCAAAAAGAAAAACAACTTCGACTGGACTCCAGAATGCCAACACGCCTCGGAAGAATTGAAGCGATATTTGACCAGCCCGTCTTTGCTCCACACGCCAAAAGAGGATGAAACGCTGTATTTGTACCTGGCCGTATCTGAGATAGCGGTAAGCGGTGTGCTGGTTCGAGAAGATCAAGGTATGTAAGCCGGACCCTGGGGGATGCCGAAACCAAGTATCCACCTGGAGAAATTAGCTCTTGCGCTAATAAGCGCATCACGAAAATTGAAGCCTTATTTTCAGTGCCACCGTATTTGCGTTTTAACAACGTACCCTCTCCGTAGCATATTAAACAAGCCCGAATTATTGGGCCAATTGGACAAATGGGCCATCGAACTCGGGGGATATGATATCGAGTATCAACCCCGGACGGCCATCAAGTCCCGAATTCTGGCAGACTTCGTGGCCGACTTCTCTCCCTCACTCGTGCCCGAGGCAGAAAAGGAGCTCTTACTAAAAATGGGCACATCTTCCGGGGTGTGGACCCTGTTCACCGATGGCGCCTCGAACGTTAGAGGATCCAGACTCGGTATAGTCCTGAAGCCACCCACGGGCGGCATGATCAGCAATCTATAAAAACTGCAAGGTTGACTAACAACGAAGCCGAGTATGAGGTTATGATTGCAAGTCTAGAATTGGCCAAAAGCCTGGGAGCTAAGATCGTCGAGGCAAAATGCGATTCGCTCCTGGTAGTAAATCAGGTAAATGGGAGCTTTGAGGTCCGAGAAGACAGGATACAAAGGTACTTGGACAAAATCTAGATCACATTACACCGTTTCAAAGAATGGACCCTGGTCCATATACCCCGAGAGCAGAACAGCGAAGCCGATGCCCTTGCTAACCTGGGATCATCCGTCGAAGAGGACGACCTTCTTCCCGGGGCTGTTGTTCAGCTATCCAAATTAGTGGTCGAGGAAGGTCGTGCCGAGATTAACTCCAGTATCCTGACATGGGACTGGAGAAATAAATATATTGACTATCTGAAAGATGGGAAACTACCCACAGATCCGAAAGAATCGAGGGCCCTGCGTACCAAAGCAGCTCGTTTCTCGCTCGATAAAAGTGGAACTCTTTACAGGAGAACCTTTGATGGCCCTCTAGCCGTATGCCTAGGGCCAGGAGATACCGATTATGTGCTCCGGGAGATCCACGAGGGGACCTGTGGAAATCACTCCGGTGCCGATTCCTTAATTCGAAAAATAATCAGGGCAGGCTACTATTGGGACAATATGGAAAAAGACACTAAGGAATTCGTCTGAAAGTGCGGCAAATGCCAGAAATTCGCCTCTATGATTCACCAACCCGGCGAGCAGCTACATTCAGTCTTATCGCCATGGCCATTCATGAAATGGGAAACGGACATCGTTGGACCTCTGCCAACGGCGCCAGGTAAAACTAAATTCATTTTATTTATGACTGACTATTTCTCAAAATGGGTGGAAGCGCAGGCCTTCGAGAAGATAAGAGAGAAAGAAGTCATTGACTTCATCTGGGACCATATTATGTGCCGTTTCGGGATTCCTTCCAAGATAACATGCGATAATGGGAGGCAGTTCATCGGAAGCAAAGTAACACAGTTCCTCGAGGATCACAAAATCAAGAGAATCCTGTCGACGCCTTACCACCCATGCGCAAATGGCCAGACCGAGTCCACAAACAAAACCATCATCCAAAACTTAAAAAAGAAGTTGGAAAGCGCTAAGGGAAAATGGAGAGAAATATTGCCCGAAGTACTATGGGCGTACTGAACAACTCCAAAATCGAGCACAGGGGAAACACCTTTCTCTCTAGTGTATGGCGCTGAGGCTTTGATACCAGTAGAGGTCGGGGAGCCAAGCACCGGATTCCAACACGCCATTGAAAGCTTGAACAACGAGGCCATGAAAACGGCCCTCGAGCTATTAGATGAAAAGCGAGAAGCCTCGCTAGTTCGAATGGCCGCCCAAAAGCAAAGGATCGAAAGGTATTATAACAGGAGAACAAACCTCCGACATTTCAGAGTCGGGGACTTGGTCCTAAGGAAAGTCACCATCAACACCCGAAACCCTAATGAAGGAAAGCTAGGCCAAAATTGGGAAGGACCGTACCGCGTCCTCTTAGTAATCGGCAAAGGGTCCTACAAGCTCGGTAACATGGAAGGCGACCAGCTTCCAAGCAACTGGAACGCATCAATTCTAAAACGATACTACTGCTAGGATGTCGATTGAAAATTCTGAAACACCCTCGAGCATGCGTTGCACTCTTTTCCTTTGACCGGATTTTGTCCCTGGAAGGGTTTTGCCGGCAAGGTTTTTAACGAGGCAACATCCATATGCTGCCTAAGGAAGACTCGGAAAGTATTCAAGGCTTCTTTTGCAATCAACCTCAATACTGGGGGGTATCCCCCCGAAAGGTCACCTACTCGGAGAAGCCGAGATACATCAAATGGGGTCTGGATAGGAAAATAATATACTGGGCCATACGGTCGAACGAACCGTGTCCTCATAGAACAACTGAGGCCTTAACAGCAAAGGCATGTATACTTGTACCAAGTAATCGAAGAATACTTCCCAAAACCATTCTGCGTTTCGAGAAAGCCCGATATTTTTGCAAAAAAGGCTCCAGAGCCAAAAATGTCCCGAATACGCGGGGACTGACGTCGACAACTCGAAATGAGACGACCCCCGAGTCGGAGCTCCTAACTCATGAGCCCTCTAAGAGGCAACCTTGCCATTAATATCACTACAAGTCCCCAGATGGTACCCGATCTCAAGGGCATCCGTCAAAAGAAGATAGGCACCAAGAAGCCACTAACATCACCATAAGTCCTAAGATGGTACCCAATCTCGAGGACCTCAATCAAAAGAAGATAGGCTCCAAGAAGCCTACAATCGTGAGATGGTACCCGATCTCGAGGACCTCTGTCGAAAGGAGCTAGGCTCCAGGAGGCCAATGCCATCCTAACCCATAAACCCTCAAAGAGGCAACATCGAGATCACAATGGCTCCCGAGCTGGGAAATCCTCGATAACTCTAGGAGTGCCATTAATCACCATCTCCATCATAATGGCTCCCGAAACAAGAAATCCTCGATAGCTCGAGGACTGTCGTTAATCGCCATCTCCATCATAATGGCTCCCGAACCGAGAAGTCCTCGATAGCTCGGGGACTGGTGTCAATCGCCATCTCCATCGTAATGGCTCACCGAGCCGAGAAATCCTCGATAACTCGGGGACTGTCGCCAATCGCCACTCACCAAAAAACCCGAGGCCATAAGACCCTAAGCGGGCAGCCTCGGTCTCGTAAAACCTACATAAGGCATCAACGATATCTGTAAGACCTCAAGCAAGGCATGAACCATACTTGTACCAAGTACCCAAACTGTAAGACCTTAAAGGCATGTAAAACTTGTAAGACCTTACTAAAGGCAAATACCTGATCTCAAAGTTAAGGCTATATATCGAACGTTTAAGACCCCTAAAAGGCCTACCCTCGATATAGATGTCGAAACCACTTCACTCGGGACTAAATGGCTCCGGCCGAACACAAATGACTACGATCACAAGGTTGTACCAGCCAAACTAACGCGACTCGGGGACGCCCGACCGTCGCTACAAAATCACAGTCCTTCAATCACTTCGAATCTACATCGAACAGAACGGGTTAAACAGGCTACCCTCGACACAGGCAAAAGAGCTTCGACCATGTCAGCTCCTAAACACCGTCTTCGAGATACTCAGCCTTCGAGACAAACCTCCCGAGTTGCTCGATCATCGCCATATAACGACTCGCAATCGAGGTTTTTTATCAAACCGTCGAAGAGTCAGGCAAACACTTTC